CTGGGTTTTGGGGCGGACTGGGGTTCGGGCCTGGTCCTCGCTCCGCGGCCTGCGCTGGGCCCGCGCCTGAGCCTGTCTCGTCTTTCCCCCCGCAGCAGCAAAGTGTCCCGCGATACGCTGTACGAGGCGGTGAAGGAGGTGCTGCAGGGCAGCAAGACCAAGAAGCGCAAGTACGAGCCCTGCCCCGTGCCCGGCTGAGGCCTCGCGCCCCGTGCAGGGCCTGACCTGGAGCTCTTCCCTCAGGTTTGTGGAGACGGTGGAGCTGCAGATCAGCCTGAAGAATTACGACCCGCAGAAAGACAAGCGATTCTCCGGCACCGTCAGGTTCGGCATCCTCTTGCTCACACCCAGCCTTCAGCCCGCGGCCCTCAGCCAAGGGCGGCTTCCCTGCTGCAGGCCGTGCTGCTGAACGCCCCGGGTAGTTCAGACCGTCACCCCCGAGCGGGTGCGGCTGGACGGACCCCCACCCTGGGTCTTAAAACAAGAGGGGAGGTGTGGGGTGCTGCCCCCGCCGCCCTGCCCCAGAGGCAGGTTCTGAGCGCGGAGGAAGATGTGAGGAGCTGCGGTAAGGTATCTGCACGTGGGTCCCTCTGAGCTGTGTGGCATCCGTGGCACACCGGGTAATTTGGGCTCTGTCTGCAGGCTGAAGTCGACCCCACGGCCCAAATTCTCTGTCTGCTTGCTGGGGGACCAGCAGCACTGCGATGAGGCCAAAGCGGTGGAAATCCCTCACATGGACATAGAGGCTCTGAAGAAGCTCAACAAGAACAAGAAGCTGGTGAAGAAGTTGGGTGAGTGGGGTGTGGGTTGGTCTCTGGGTGCCATGGCTGAATCTGTGACAGCAGGTTTCCCCATGCTCACATTTCCATGTCAGGATTAGCTGCAGAGAACAGAAAACTGATTACTCTTCAAGAGTAGGATTCTGTCTGGGAGCTATCCAGCAAATCATATTGCTTCTTACGGTGTGGAATGTCTGGCAGATCAGTGCTGCAGCAGTGCAGTGATTGCCCTCTTCCAGGAGGAGGGGATACAGGAGAGCTGTTCTGTCTCCTTAAGAAGTTAGGGTGCAGCAAAGCCAAGTAGAAGTAGAGGTAAAAGTTGCTCTAATCCTGCCATACCGCAGTGAACAGAATGGAGTTGGGTTATTTTTACTTATAGCAGATAAAACCTTTCTTCTCTTACAAAATGAAAGTCATTTTGATAAGTATCTTGAGCAGATAAGGAAAGCTTGCCATTCAGTTCTTGAAACCATAGGAGGTTGGAAAATGATGTAGGATATGGTTACTGTCACTTAAGCCTCTCTCAGGCATCATAGGATCATCATCATAGGATGGCCTGGGTTGAAGAGGACCACCTTTGAAGTGATCACCTCATTTCAACCCCCTGCTGTGTGCAGGTTCACCAGCCACCACACCAGGCTGCCCAGAGCCACATCCAGCCTGGCCTTGAATGCCTCCAGGGATGGGGCATCCAACACTCTGCACATATGCACAGAATACAGAAGGAGAATCCTGGTAGAGCTCTTAGCGTCCATAATGTGGCTGGATAAACGCCACGCATTTCAGGGAAGTCCTCTGTGTAAAGTTAATGGGATTGCTGTCAGAATGTAGGCTCTGAGTCCTGGTGGGTTTGGTGGTGTGACAAGAATGGCTTATAATGCAGTATGAGGAAAAAGGCAGGGCTTTGGGAACATGGAAATGTATGCATTGGGGGAAATGCAGCAGTACAGTCTCACCTGAGCTCTTGGTTTCAAGTTGGATTAGAGATGAGAGTACTTCCTTACCTACTTTTGTTCTCACAGCTAAGAAGTACGATGCCTTCCTGGCTTCAGAATCCTTGATCAAGCAGATTCCTCGAATCCTGGGCCCAGGTCTGAACAAAGCTGGCAAATTCCCTTCTCTCCTCACTCACAATGAGAACCTGGTGGCCAAGGTTGATGAGGTCAAATCTACCATCAAGTTTCAGATGAAGAAGGTAAAGAGCTCAGGGCTTCCAGTTGGCAGCTGCTTACCTGGGGAGTGGTGGGTGATTGGTGGTCACTTGGTGGTGGCTGCGATCTCTGGTCTGGTCTGTAGGTGTCCCTCCAGTGTCTGCAGCAGCTCCTGGTGAGGAACATCCAGCATTCTGCTGGGCAGCAGAGGGACACAGTCACCAGAGCATTCAGCTGCTAACTGGAAAAGAACAATTGATTTGTGGTTAGAAGAGCTTTAGAAAAGTGATTAGGAGATGATCCTGATGTTTGAGCGCTGAGCACAATTGGTCATAATTAACACTTCCAGTAAGTGGGTGACATGTGCAGGGTGTGGCTCTGGAACCAGGCATGCCCCAGTGGGTTTGTGCACGCTGCTGTGCTTTGGCAGAAGCAAGTCTGGGACTTGACTCTGCAAGTGAACTTTGCAGCAGCTCTGTGGATGTCTGTGCCTGTCAAGAGATGTCAAGGCAAGCCAGCTCCCTAAAACCAAAATAACCCTGCTCAGGCATTTTAATCTCGTGACAGTGGTCTAAATGTGACTCCTGGGTATTATTCAGAATTAGCAGCTCTGCTAGCTGAGGTGCATCCTCAGACTCCAGCTGATCTGAGCCTGAAGGCACAGCTGGAAGGACACAGTAAATGCAATAGTTTGCAAATGCTTCAGCATTTAAAGTAACAGAGCTAATGATGTCCTGACGCTTCTCTTGTCAGCTTGCTCATAAATCCTTTTGTCTTCAGCCTGTGGGGAACATTGACTTACAAGCTCCTCTGCAAGGCTGGCAGGCAGAGGCTTGGCCTCTGTGTGTGTTATGTGCAGAAAGAAAGGGCTGGTGACTGGTGCCAAAACAAAAAGTGAAGCTGGCGCCATGCGTAGCAGTGAAGTTTGGAGCTGATAGTCTGTGCTGCGCTGGGTTAGCAGTTTGCAGGAAATGTGCCAGTGCAGCCTGGTGAGTCAGGCATGGGATTAGTTACATGAGAGGTCTGCTCCTGCTTCCCTACCAGTTCAGAGCAGTGCTTTGCACGTCCCTCCCAGCTTCAGGAGATGGCTGCTTGCTGCCTTCAGTGAGCCACCTTTGCGCTGTGAGGAAGCCAGACCTGCACCAGCTGTTGCTCAGATTGCACCCAGATGCTGCCAGACACATTCATGGGAGCCACATGCCAGAAACAATGAGCTGTGTAGAAGCACTCTTCCATGGATAGGCTGGAGAAGTTAGATGCAGTGACAGACCATGGGGTGGTTTGATCCCTCGCTGCTCTGGGTTGTTCTGTCAGCCATTGTATAGGTGACCGTGGTGTCCTTGTCCCCAGGTGCTCTGTCTGGCTGTGGCTGTTGGTCATGTGAAGATGACAGAGGATGAGCTTGTCTACAACATCCACCTGGCCATCAACTTCCTGGTGTCCTTGCTGAAGAAGAACTGGCAGAATGTGCGTGCTTTGTATATCAAGAGCACCATGGGGAAGCCCCAGCGTCTGTACTAACTGGGTGGCAATAAACTTTTAGGACATCTTACAGCTGTGTGGTTGCATTCCTCCAAAGCTTATTGGGCAAGACTTTCTGAAGAGCTGCTCGCTTCCTTACAGTGAAAAAGGTTTTGAATGCTGTTAAATTGAAAGAGGGGTGAATTCAGGGGAAGCATCAGCCTTAAATTTGCATTTGAGCTTCGTAGGTCACACAAGCTGATTTCTTGTGAAAAAGACAAGCTTGTCACCCTGCATTCAGAGCAGGAGGGGGGGGACCACTCAGTTAGCAGCTAGCACAGGCAAAATTGGGGTGGTTACATCAAAACTAAGGAAACAGTTCCTGCACACAGTAGTCATGCTATGGCCTCAAGGCTCCCCAGCTCACCTCAGAGAGCTCCCTTCTGCCATCCCAGAAACAGCATCCTGTCAGCTCTCAGGGTGGGGGCTTATGGGACACTCACATTTTATAGGGTTCTGCTGCCTTTGCAGTGACCAATGGCTGGAGTTGAGCTGCACAGGAGCAGCTCATGAAGACTTGATGGGTCTTCCAGCTGTTTCCAGTTACATTAAGATTTGAAAGGTGCTGGGGGTAAGAGATGGGAGTTCCAGCTCAGTGAGGGGTTCCTCGTTGGCTCTGCAGAGAAGTGTTCCTGTTCAACTCAATGTTCTGGGCTAAAAATGAGGTATGTTGCATCTAATTAATGTATATAAATAAATGTATTGTGTAATGACTGCAGAGCCTATGGAAATCTGTAGGATTTAAGCTGGAAGAAAAGCTCTGTGCCCTCAAAAAGAGCTTGTCTGAGCATCTGAAGAACAAAACAATGAAAATAGCTTTGGACCCTGCTGTTAGAAACCTTTTAAAACAAGCACCAGAGCCAGCTTCTGAAAGATCAACACAACACCAAGAAATTCCATTTAATAATTAAAAAAAGACAATACAAAATGCAAACATTTCTTTTTACAAAGTTCAGATACATTTTTCTTTTTAATCAAGTGCAAATAACTTTATGAACTACATCTTTCTCATCAATCACTTTGCTGGAGATGGTAAGTCACGGCCTGCTGCAAAAGGCAGATATAAATATTCCAACATGAAAAAAAAGAACATCCCCCCCCCAAAAAAAATACACACAACAACCCTTATTTTTATGTTCACCTCGTTGAAACATTCAATACATCCCAGAGGTGGCTGATGGTTTTCAGCCCTTCGAACCTTTTCTGAGTCATCTGATGGGTGTGGGTAAAAGAAAGGGCTGCTTCTTTCTGGTGGGCTCTTCTGGGGGTTTCTTTGAGGATATTGGTGGGAGGGGGAGGATGTGTTACCAGATCTCTTTGTCCTTTACAGGAGGACGTGCAGCCCAGCTCGCCTTCCAGCACAGCCCTGGGGGAGCAGAGGTGCCCAGTTGGGGACGTGCGGCACCCAGGACATCCCACAGTTCTCAGATCCACCCTCACAGGCTCAGAGCAGCAGCAGCAGCTCTGAAATTCAATCACAGAGAATTAAAGAGCTCTGCATCACACCGGGGCCACCACAGCACGCATTTCTGGGCTGCCTTTTTCTTCTTTTTTTTCCTAAATACGAAAGACCCTTTTGGTGGCCATTGCTCTGCTGTGGCTGCCCCAGAGCGATTAAAAAACACAACAAAAAACCAACCCTCCGAATCCCTACAACGGCTTTTGTGCATCAAAGCAGCTGCTCTCAGACACCAAACCGAGCGACAAACAGCTCAGCCCCCAGCTGCTTCCAGCCAGGCTGCGAGCCGGGCGGCAGGAGAGAGAAGCCCACAGCTGTGATGAATCAGTGCAGCCTTTTCCAACCCCCCACGTCTTGGGGACGCATCCCTGCACATTACAACCCATCCCAGCGCCCCAGCAGAGCCCAGTTGTTGGGGTGAGCGAGCAGCACAGACTGAGGGGGGCATGGACCAAACCAGGGCTCTGCCTGGGCCATCGGGGGGATACATGGAGCAATTTCTCTCCCAGGATGGGAGGATTGGGTGCAGTGGGACGGAGCAGCACGAGCCAAGGAGCTCAACCAGCCTGAAAGCATACAGCACCGACCCTGCCAGCATTACAGACAGCCCCAGTAGAAGTGATGGATCCACTGTGAGTGGACAGAAGTGCCTTAAAACCCAGTACAACTCACCCCATCATGGCCAAGCTCTGCTTTCCCGCAGAGGAGATGTGCAGCCTTCCACCAAAGCAGGTTGCTACAGGGAAAACATGCAGCAGAAAAGGTTCCAAGGCCAGAAAACACCATTGCATTTGTCACCAGCATCCCAGGGCTGGGCTTGGTTTGTTGTTCTGTTGTTTTGTTCTTTTTTTGTGACAGACACACATTCTCATTTCTCAGGCAGGTATAAATATTGTAGTTTCTAGTAGAAAAAAAAAAAAAAACAAAACCAACAACAAAAAAAAACAACTTCCCTCTAAATAATATAAAGAAGACTCAAATGATTGCACTTAATACATATGAAAAAGGTAGAAAGGAGGATATCCTAGTGCACAAACGTTGACTCCTGCTCTTCACAAAGCTTGCTTTCTGTCGACGAGTTACTCTTTGGCAGAGCTTGGAAGGAAGTCTGGTTCCTTGGCACAAATGTCCGTGGGGGGAGGAGGGGGGAAGAACGCGCCCGGCTGAAGTCCTCCTTGATCGCTCCATCTCTCCCATGCAGCCACACGTTGTTCTCCATGCCTTCCTCCAGTGCCAGGTGCCAGCACGGCTCTCCAGCAGGACGGCCACCAGTGCCACCGTGCTGTCCCATTCTGTCCTTTCTTTTTTCCTTATCGTGGTTATTTTTAACAAAGTTGGCGTTACGCTTGGTTTGGTTTTCTTCCCCCCCTCCCCCCCCCAGGCTCCTCCGCAAAGCTGGGCTGATAGCTGAGCTCCGTGCGCTGCGCAAAACGCGGCGTCACCTCCGGTGCTGCCCTGGGATGGGGCAGGAGATGAGCCCTGGGGGGGCTGCGGGTGCCTGGGTGGCATCAAGGGATGGGACAGAGCCGGCACAGAGGTGGGAAGGAAACGGATGGGGGTGAAGAAGCTGCTGCAGAAGAGAGGAATGGCATCGCTGGGTGAGATCAGGGTGAGACCGGAGCTGTGTGTGGGACGGGAGGCGGCGGTCCTGCCGGAGCCAGGCAGGAGGAAGGAGGAAAACTGAAATAAGAAGAGAGGGAGGAGAGGGTTTCCTTGGTGGCCGGGCGGCCCGGGGTGTCAGGGCGCTATTTGTAGGGCCGCAGGAAGCTGGAGACTTTGGAGCGGAGCAGCTTGATGAAGGAGCGGGGCAGCATCTCCTTGTGCTTCTCCGTGTATTTGAAGTAGTTCTGGGGGTGTGCCAGCACGTCGAAGAACGCTTTGATCAGCTTCTTATCCTGGAGTTAAGCAAAGCTGATGTCAGCCCCAATGCTGGGCACAGCACACAGCTGCTTCAGCCCCACAACACCCCCGGCACGGCTCCAAACCTGAGCGATGCGCCGTGCTCAGCCCAGCAGCACCAGGCAGTGGAGGTGATCGGGGGCAGTGCTCACCTTGAGGATCTCCTGGTGGTTTTCGGAGGCGTACAGCCTGCCGTCCCGCACGATGTCCTCCACCAGCTGCTCATAGTCCTCTGCAACAGCCAAGTGAAAGCAGCTCAGGGCATGCCTCCCCAAACCCAGAGTCCCAGTCTCTGGCACCGAGCTCCCCAATGCATGGGAGACGTGACCCGGGCTCCTGGGGGAGCAGAGCAGGCAGCGCCAGGCTGGGATGCTGCTGCCCAGTGCTTACCATCATAGGTGACATAGGGGATCTGGAAGCCCCGGGCGCTGTTGGCCTCGCTGGTTTTGAAGTTGATCCAGAGTTTGCGAGAGCGGGCGGTGAAGGCGATGGGTCTCTCATAGGTCTGGCACGTCTCATAGGTAGTGATGGAAGATGGGGAGGCTGTGGGGGGACAGCGAGGGACTGAGTGATGACCCCCACCTCACTGTGCTGGAATGCTTAAAGGGGACACCAGGGATGGGGCTTGTCTGTGGGCAGTGTCCCTGGTTAATAGCAGGGACAGTGACATTCCCTCCTTGGAATGGAAGCAGCTCCTTCCTTCCAAGGTTTTGAACCCTGAGGATTGCTGAAAAACTTGTAAACAGCCCTCATTCCATGCACATCCCTGCGAAGCAGCAAGGCAGCCCAGCAGCAGCACGATGCTGACATCCCTCCAACAACCTTCCCATCGCATAAACCCACCCCACTGCCTCGCAGGGACCGGCCACTCTCCCTTAGCATTCATCAGCTCAGCTCAGCTCTGTCCTCCCCCAGCTTCTCCCCTGAGCACCGCACCACGCTCTGTTACCTACAGTTTTTCCGCATCACCAAGACGTCCCCGCACTCATCCTCAGAGGGCAGGAAGATCTCTGGCACCACGATGAGGATCTTCCTCTTGGGCGGTGGGTTGATGTTCCATGTGCACTCGACATTGGCAGGGTAATTCCCCGGGTAGTTGGGGGACTCAATGTAACCCGTGTACTCGCCCAGCTCGCCTCCGCACTGGCGATCTGCAAGGAAGGAGAGGAACAGATGGACTGGAAACTGGTGGTACAGAGAGACAAGAAACTGGTAGCACAGGGGACACAAATGGACTGGAAATTGGTGGCAAAGGATTGGAAAATGTGGCACAGAGGGACTGGAAATTGGTGGCACAGAGGGACTGGAAACTGGTGGCACAGAGGGATGGGAAACTGGTGGCACAGAGGGCAGATATAGACTGGTGGCACAGAGGGATTGGAAACTGTTGGCTCAGAAGGACTGGAAACTGATGGCACAGAGAGTCAAGAAACTGGTGGCACAAAGCACACAGATGGACTGGAAACTGGTGGCACAGAGGGATGGGAAATTGGTGACAGAGAGAAGAAACTGGTGACATAAAGGACTGGAATCTGGTGGCAGAGAGGGCACAAAGGGATTGGAAATGTGGCACAGGCCCTGGGACTGGAAACTAGTGGCACAGAGGGATGGGAAATTGGTGGCACAGAGAAAAGAAACTGGCGGCATAAAGGTTACAATAGGACTGGAAGTGGGTATCACAGAGGAACTGGAAAATGTTGGCATGGAGGGACTGGAAACTGGTGGCACGGAGGGATGGGAAACTGGTGTCAAAGGCACTGGGACTGCAGAGCTTTATGGGCTGGTGTGGGTGAGCTCTTGATCAGCACCACTCCATGCACGCACAGCCACACGAAGCACAGCAATGACCGACTGTGCTATTTTGAGGGACCTGGGGGTGGTTCTGGGGAAGGAGCCCCACTCACACTGCATCACACCCACTGCCCACCTACTTTTGCACTGGGACACGGAGGTGGAGCCGTCGAAGTCGGTGGTGGTGTTTCCAGGACAGGCAATGCAGTAGTTCTGCCTGAAGTCAGGCTGGTAGGTGCCCACGGCGCAGCGGATGCAGCGGTGCACGCTGGTGTTGTAGTAGTGCCCAGGTGAGCACTGGACTGGGGGAACAGAGAGCAAACAGAGCTCTGTCACTGCTGGCACAGCCCCAATGGCTCCCTCCCGCCCTGCACCAAATGGGACGTACCTTTGGTGTCACAGTCCTGGAAGGAGAGGGCTCCCTCGTGCCGGGTTGTCAGCCCCCCGCCGCAGGGGAAGCAGAGCGCCCGCCCCACCTCGGGCTGGTAGGAGCCACGTGGGCACGGCTGGCAGGGCTTGAAGCCATCGGTGGAATGCTGCCCAGGGGGGCACTGACCTGTGGGCACAGCCATTGCTGGGACGCAGCCCACAGAGTGCCCCGTGCCCGGCTCCCTGCCCCTCCAGCTGAACAAATGGGACGGGGGTCCTTCTAAATGCTGTTCCCGTGGCCAAACGTGCAATTCCCAGGGATGCTCAGAGCTTTTGCCTCTAATAGATGGGGACTGATGGTGTAGCATCAGGGTTGGTGTGTGGATGTCCCCTGCCCGGTCCCCTCTGCACCCCCCTACCTGTGCAGCCGGTGATGTTGGTGGCTCCCACGGGGCCGAACGCATCGCTGCGGGGACACAGGTCACAGGAGAGCTGCCCTTCCTTCTCCTGGTAGGTGCCAGAGGGGCAGGGGACGCACTGCTCCGTCTGCCCATGGTAATAGGTTCCCTGCGAGCAGCTAACTGAGAGCCAGGGCTGGAGGTCAGTGGCATGCCGGGGGGCTGTCCCCAATGGGGGGGACACATCGGTTCCCATCCCAGGGCCTTGCACTGCTCCCTTACCACACTTGGTGCCCAGGCGCTGCTGGCCCGGCCCGCAGCTCTCCTGCCGTTCCGGGGCCACGCTCAGCTTCCTTGCCACCTCGTACTCCATCCCAGCAAAGCGCAGCAGGAACCGCTCCTGGTTGATGGATTTCTTCAGGGCTTTGATGGCTGATTTGAGCTTTTTCTCCACTTTCTGTCGCAGGCAGTGCAGGTTGCAGCTGGCTGGGTTTTGGGGGGGGGAAGGGAGGCAGAGAGAACAGTGATAAGAGAAGAAAGAAACCCAATAGGATTCTCTGCATCACGCAGAACACTGCTGTGGGCTCTGCTGAATGCCCAGTCAGCACAGGATGAGGACCATCCCAGCTCTCCTTGCTGCACGGGGACACCAAGGGATGCCACCCAGCCCACCTGTGGTCTCCTCTGGTTTGATCTCCGCCTCGAACTCCAGTGTGATGCGTGTCACCTCCTTGCCGGAGGAGTTTCGCGCCCGGCGGCCCTTCCCCTTCTTGGATGAGTCACACTTGAGGTTGACAAAGGCCACCTGGCAGTCGGAGCAGGGTGCAGCACCGCCTGCACACAGGGTGACAATCGGCACCCGTCCCTTTGTGGTGGGACGAGCATCCCCCCACACCTGCTCACCTTGTGCTCCAGCCTTCCCCGCCTCATCCTGCTTGCTCTTTGCCCGCGGGTGCAGGTGGCACTTGGCATCCTTGATCTTGAAGGAAGCCTTCTGCTTGATTGGGGCAGCGACAGTCTCTAAAAGAAAAGGCGGGTGCTGAACCCGTGGGTGAAGGGCAGCACGGGGTCAGGGAGATGGGTGCCCACAGCCCCTTACCGAGGCACTGCTGGCTGCTGTTGGCTGCTCTGTGCTGGCTGCCCTGACGCAGCACCGGCGTCCCGCAGCTCACCGTGTAGCTGCTGTCAGACTCTGTTGGAAGGAGGTGCAGGTGTCAGAGTGCTGCTGAGCACCCGGTGCAGACACCCCATCCCTCAGAAGCAGCCGTGCAGAGACCCCAGGGTGCAGCACCCAGCACCGCACCGACCCTGTGCTGCATGAACCCACCCCAGCAAAAACATCGCTCCTCTGCACCCTGAGGGCACTGCAGCTCTTCTGCCCCTGCTTTGGGCCATGTAGGGGATGGGGACCCTCCTGTCCCCCCTGTACCTGGCTGGAAACGAGCCTTGGAGGAGCAGGTAAGGGCACAGCTGTCCTTCTTGCCCGTCTTGTTGCAGGTGAGAGTGGCCCGTGGTGGAACCGAACCTGCCAGGCATTTCACCAGCTCTGAGGGACATGCACCGGCTGGTGGGGACAAGTGGGGACACCCATGGCTGGCACAGAGCAGAGACCACGGTGGAACCCCCCCACCCACCCACTTGGGAGAAGGGTGCAGTGTGGGGATCCCAGAGCAGCATCTTAATCCTCCCCCCACCCAAAGCTCCTTGTGTGGAGACTGCTGAGATTTCTGAATCCGGGGGGCAGAGCTACCCTTGGCTCCATCTGTCCCCAATGAAAGGGGTCAGTTGGGTACCAGAGCATGGCCAGGGGCACAGCCAGTGCAAAAGCCCACAGCCAGCCCTAGGCATGGTCTAAGATGCAATGAGATGCCCCAGGGCAGGGGGAGCAGGGCAACATCCATCCCATCCCATTCCATCCCATCCTGACCCACGTGAGATGGACAAAGAATCCCCAGACCAAAGCAGCTCATCCTGCAGCACCCTTCACTTGGACTCCCCAAATCCCAGTGCTCCACCCACCCCCATCTTGCTCCTTACAGTCCCAGGTGATGGTTGGGGCCATGGCACCCCTGGGCTATGCTGGAGCAGGTCTGGACTGGACATACCTATGCAGTCCTTTTTGTTCCAGTGCAGCTTGCAGCCAGCAGGACAGGTACACTGGTAGCTGCCAGGTGTGTTGATGCAGCCAAATTTGCAGCCCCCACGGTTGATGCTGCATTCATCAACATCTATGGGAACAGAGAGCAAAGTTGGGGGGCACCGGGACCCCCCAGCTCTGATGCTGAACCATCTCAAGGATGTGATTTTGGACAGATAAATGCCACAAAAGAAAAAAAAAAATACCAGCAGGGTTCTTGCATCCCGGGGGGGCCGGGTTGGAGCACGCTGCTCCGGGACACGTGTGGCACGAGTAAGGTCACCCCCCCACTGCCACAACACACTCCTGCACCCCCCCCTCTGCATGTTTTATCTGCATCCCGGGGCGCTGCACACCCCCGCCTCGTGAAACTTAAATCAACCCCTTTTGATGTTCCCCTTTCCCACCCCATCCCATCTTGCTGCCAACAACGCCGGGGATTTCTCTCCCTCTCTCCCTGCAGACAAGTTACAAATTGTTCCTGTTGCTGCGTTTGAAGTTGCAGACACCAATGTCTGGCTGTGTGTGCTCTCCCTGCACGGCCCCAGCACGGGGTGCATGGCGGGGACGTGGGACACTGCCACCCACACCTTGGGGACAGGCATGGGGCTGCCCCGTTTCTGGGTGCCCTGAGTGCTCCCCAGGACTCGAACACAGTGGGGTCCCACTGCCAGCCCCCAGCCAGCCCTACCTCCACAGTGGGTGAGCCCATACAGCGTGTAGCCCTTGTTGCAGAGGCACTGGAAACTCCCAGGGGTGTTGATGCAGAGGTGGTCGCAGGTCCGGTCGAAGGAGCACTCGTCGATATCTGGGGGGAGGTGAAAAAGCAAGGTGGGGAGGTGAGGGATGGCACACTCCTCCTTCTTGTGCTGCAAGCTGGGGTGTGCACCAGGATGCTCTGGGACCCCACGCTGGGATGCTCAAGGGCCGTATCCCACCTTCTCTGCTCCAAACTCCTCGCATGTTCCATTTGTAGCCCACCACCACCCCTCTCACCCCAAGTGCAGCCCCCAGATGTGCCAAACGGCGCCCTTGGTGCGGTGCCCCGGTGCTGCCTGGTGCACAGGGGGTGCTGCATGGGCAGGTCCTGCCTTGGGGCCGTTGCCAGCACTGTCTGTGGAGCCCTGCAGGGCACCTGGCTGGGGCTGGGCGGCCCTGCGTGCACAGGTGAGCCCGGCCCAGAGGGTTTGATCATCATTTTTTTGGCTTCATTAAGTTAATTGCCACGCTCACATCAAGCTTGTAAGAGCGTAGAACCTGGATGGAGATGAAAGCGGTCGCAGCCCTGGGGCATCAGCCCCCCCCCACCCCATCGCACCCAGACCCTGTGATTCTGGGGAGGCTGCAGCTGAGGCTGAGTGCTGCCCGTGGCTCTGGGGGGGGGGGGATTCCCGATTCCCGCACCCCCCAAATGGCCCAACAGCACCTGGGTGGGTGCTGAGCTGGAGGCACTCTGCCTGAGAAGCTGCAGGAGAGGTTGGGACAGAGAGCAGGGAGAGGTGACAGCGGACCCCCGGGCTGCCCTCACCTTGGCAGTTCCTCTCGTTGATGAGCAGTTTGTAGCCCTTCTTGCAGCTGCACTCGAAGCTGCCCACCGTGTTCCTGCAGATGTGGTCGCAGCCGCCGTTGTTGAGCCGGCACTCGTCGATGTCTGGGGAGGGGGGGGTGGGGGAGGACAGGGACACGCGTGCTGTGCTGCTCATCCCCAACCCTCCCGGCTCTGCTTTTATATTTTTTTTCCCCTTTCCCAACTAATCGCACAATTTACTGCTTGGAGAGGACCTGTGAAATGGACGGGCGGCAGGAAGAGGCGGCCGTCTGCCCATCTCCCCACCACCAGCACTGGGGCCGGGACTTTCCCTTTGTTACTGGCTGTAAACCGGCAATAAAACCCCCAGACACGGGGATATGGCTGCAGGTTATTGCTCTTTCCTGGAAACCGTTGAATCAGAGGGGCAGCCCTGAAGAAATAACGAGGGGAGGGGGCTCCTGGGAGCAGCCAGCAGGTGGGCAGGCGGCTGCAGAGCCTTCTGGGGCTCTGCTTTCAAGCAGGGTCAAGTTCCTAAAGCTGATGAATGATGCAGTGCAGGCACTGCCCCATCCAGCCCCGGGTCACCGTGCCCCCCTGCATCCCCTGCAGGGACACATGCGGTGCTGATGCCTTCTGATGCCAAATGGGCATCTTAAAAAAAGGCAGATGAGAGCTTGGTGCAAAATTTGGGATTGTCCCATCTTGGGAGGCAGATGGGAAGCTCTGCAAAGCCCTCCCAGGTGTGCTGCATCAGCACAGGACCCACACACAAAGGCGGTCCTCCAGCTCCACCCGTGGATGCAAACACAAACCCGAGCAAACCTCATTGGTACACAGTGCTGAGCTACACCTGAGCCTTTCCTACGGGCACGAGTGATGGTCAGAGGGCGCTCCTACCTTTGCAGGTCTTCCTGTCGGGCTGCAGCATGAAGCCCATGGGGCAGCTGCAGTGCACGCCGGTGGCCGCGTCGTGACACTTGCTGTCACAGCCTCCGTTGTTCACAGCACAGGTCTCTGTAGGGAGAAGGAAGGAGCACAGCAGATGAGGGGAGGGGGGCCCATGATCCCTGCCCCACTGAAACACCTCTGGGTTTTTAATGCCTCCTGGTTAACACACGCCCTCAAGCACAGAGAGGGGACCTGGTGGGTTCCAAGGGTGGAAAGTGAGGTGGAAAGTGAGTGCACGTGGCACATGCCAGCCTGCAGGCAGGGAAAAGCATCTGGGTTTCCCACTGCCCTGCTCTGCACAGCCCTCCTGCTGTCCTGCATCCAGCACTTTAGAAGGGGCATCTGTCCCTGTGGTGGGACATGGGAGCAGAGACAGCCCCACCTGTCTGTGTCAGGGCAGTGCAGGTATGGACGGAGCAGTGCTGGGGAGGGGGGGTTTGCCACCATAGAACAAAGGACTTTTGGACTCTTCAGGAACTTCCATGAGAGCAGGGCTGCAGGCAGTGGGGGACACACGGCGCTGTCAGCATTCGGACGTGCAAGATGCACTCAGGTGCACAGCCCTCACACCACATCAGTTGCATCCACCCACCCCACAGTGCTCTCTTGCCCCACGCACGTCCGTGTTGTCCTCACGTGTCACCAATGGGCACATTGGCCCATCTGGCTGCCCAGGCTAATTTGGGAGATGCTTTGTAAAATTAGAACACACACACACACACACACGCCAACAGCATCAGTGGAAAAAAAAAAATCCCTTAAAAAAAATGCTAATTATTCCAGCATTATCAAAGTCAGCTGTTGCTGGTAAAAGCAGAAGGGGCACTAATTGAAACGAAGCGTTTTCAGCTTGACAGCTTCCCTGTGAGATCAATCTTCAATTTGGGTCCTAACCGCCAGAACAATGGTTTGAAGTGCATGAAGTTGTTCACAGAGGGTAATAAAGCCTTTCCCTTCGGAGGGCCAGGCAAGGGGTAAATGAGGCTTCAAGGAACCCGACATGAACATGCCTTGAAGAAATTCCTTGGAAAGAGCAAATCCCAGGTTCTGCTGCTCTTTGCATGGGGCCCAGTGACGGAACCGTGCAACCATTTGCTGCGGGGCGATGGAGCTGGGATCGTTCTGTGCTCGTCTTGCTGCTGCTATTTTTATGATGTCCCATAATAGGAGAACAAAGGGACCATTTCATGCAATTAATAGCCAGCACAATTACAAAACGTAATGGCAAGGGATGGATTTCTGCAGATACGAACCCTGCAGCCCCAGACCAGCAAAGAGGGCAGACAACACTGCACCAAGGGGAAGGGAAACTTCATGGAGGCTGCATTAAGAATTTAATTCAGCTCTGGTGCAGCAGCTTGGTCAGGGGGAGAGAGAGGAGTGGGTTAATGGTGTCATTGCTCAGAGTGAACCCCACGCTTTTGGAGCAACAGGAGCACAGCTCCCTTCTCCCCAGCCATCCCTCCCCTTTGCACCGTCAGGGCTGAGCTTTGCAAAGAGTGCATGGGATGCACAGGACCCAGCCTTGCAGGATCATTGCAGCAAAGCACTTCGTAAAGCGGGGGGGGGGGCACATCCCAGGACTTGCAGAAAAGCTTTTGCAAGCAGAGCAGGGCTCTGGTGTAGCTGAAAGTGAAGGGTCAGGGATGGGTGTTGTGGCCCTGGGACAGGAGCACTGCTCAGCCAGCGTGAATCACTGCACACACAGCGTTTGGTGAGGGTCACCACTGCACGGGGAGGGAGAAGACAAAGCAGTTTACACACAGACACACACACACATGCTCCATCCTAACCTCACTGTGCCACAACAACGCCCCTGCAGTGTCCTCCACTGTCACTGTCACCGGGTCCAGACGCGCCCCATGTGTGCCCCCGCGCTTCCACTGCCCTGGGTTTGCCTCCACCTCCTGGGAGGCAGCAGGAGGACATCAGCCCCACAGCATTATGGAGAGAACCATGGGGTGACCAGCTCAGCACAGGAGAAGGTCCCCCTGGTGCTGCCTGCTGAAGGAGCCTAGGGAAGGCTCTGCAGAGCCCCCAAAGTGTGGGTTGGTGGGGTGGGGCTCAGGGAAGGGGTCCTCTTGGAAGAGCCAGAGAGTGCTGCCATGTGTCACCAGGAGCTGGGGACCTGCAGTGACATCTGGGAGCAGGGTCACTGCAGTGCTGCCAGCAGTCACCAGATGGGGAAGGGAAGAGAGGAGAGGATGTAGAGTGACACTGCAGGGAAAAAGCCCAGTCTGAGCGATGCCTGGTGCACTGGTCTTGCAGTACAATTCCTGCAAATGCCTCTTGTAACTTCCCCACTGCAAGAGATGGCTCTGATCCCAACAGGACAGAGCGGAGCACTGGGGCAGTTCTGAAGCACTGCTCCCACCCAAAGCTCCCACCTTAGCCAAGCTGCAGAGATGGGCACAAGGAAACAGTCACCCCCGGCCCAGACAAGGCGAGTGCCCAGCATCATGCAAGCACAGCCAGGGAAGGGTTTGCTGCTCTGTGCATCCCCAAAAGCGGAGCTGGTTGCAGCCCAAGGTTTGCTGGGCGGCGTGCAGGCAGCAGCAGTGCTGGTTAGTGCTGGCAGCGCAGCCGTGCAAAGCAGGCATGCAGTTAGTCCAAAGCTCAGCCCCCCAGTGAGCATCTCGAGGCGAGACCCCTTCACAGAGAAAGAGAGAACAAAAATATTTACCATTAGAAAACGTCTCAAGGATAACGTGTTGCTGGAAGTGTCTCTCCCCTGTTTGATATTATAAAAAAGTGATTTAGAAACAGTGTCCAGCAAGGAAGCTCGCTTGGTGTCACACGACAATGATTTCCACTCCGCTGCCTCTCGAGCTGGGTGGAAATGGTCTCCCACCTCCCAGAAGGATCCAAACCCGAGGTCTGGGTCCTGTGCTATCCATCACCCTGTCTGCATCACCCCCGGCCTCTCTGATCCCCACCGGTTCGGCACTTTGCTCAAGCAGCAGGGCAGGCGCAGGAGAAAGCGAGCAACAAAGAGCATTAGTGCAGAGCCCGTTAGTCCCATGGAATGGTGCCCTGCTCTCAGCAGAGCAAAAATGAGCGCCCGCCGGGGTAGGGGCTGCACCCAAAGGGCTGTCTGAGGAATGTTTTGGGAAGCCGTGGCACGGAGCTGAGGGCTGTCCTGCCTTGTGCTGGGTGTTCTGGGGAGGGATGAGCCCCACAGCAAAGCACACGTGGATGGGGATGCTTGGGGCACACGGTGCCGTTTGGGGATGACTGCATCCCTGTTGGATGAGACACGACGCCGGGTCCGTGCAGGGGGAGGGAGCAGAAAAGGGGAAAAGGAGGTGGAAGCCCAGCCTGCCCGATGGGCACCCAACCCAAGGGCAGGGGTTTGCCAGCAAGGACTCAGGACCCCGAAGGCTCTGCAGTGATCGTTGTCTCCTTTGTGATCGGAGCAGCACGGTGAGCCCTTGGCCACCCACCTTGTGTGCCTGAGCCCTGTGTTACCCCCTCCCCAAAAAGCCCTCCTGCCCCAGAGCTTTGCTTTTCCCAGCCCTGATCCGCTCCCTGGCGTTGCATCACCCCTCAGAGGTGCAGCACAAATCGCCCAAACACAGCTCAAGAAATCTGCCATAAAACTGGAGCTGGATTTGTTTCCTTCTCCACCTAATTGCATTTCCTGCCCATCTATGGCTCCAGGCTCACCCCTCTGCACCCCAAACACCAAAAGGATGAGAGATGCACCACCAGCATCAGTTTCACCCTACCAACTCTCCCAGAAAGCTGAAAATCACACAAAAGCTGCACCTCCCCACGGGCACCGCACCCTGGGGCTGATCCGACCCAGGCTTTAATCCGGAGGGCGATTTGTTGCGCATTTGTTTTATTTTAAAGGCCGCTTTTAGAGCATCAATATAAATATCCGAGGTCACTGGCCTCCCCCCGCAGCTTCCATCCCTGCCCCCCATCCCCCCCCCACCCCGACGCTGCAGACGCGTTGGGAGCCATTAGGGCTGGCCCCGCTCTGCTCCCAGGCATGTTCTTCATTATCCTCGTTTTTAAAAGCGGCAATAAAAAGCGGAAAAATGAAAAACACCGGCCGTGCCCTAATGAAACCGTCACTCAAAGGGGCTGCTCGCGCTTCCTGCCGCGTGGTGTGATCTGAAGGGAACCTGGACCAGGGGACGGCCCCAGCAACCCATCAAAAGCACCGCGTACAATTTCAAAGCCCGCAGCCCGGGGAGAGAGTTTGCGTTCCCCGCGCTGGAAATTTTATTCCCCTTGAAATGATGAAATATTTCAGAGGAAATGGAGAAGGAGAGAGGGAAGGGGGCGGCGGGTGGGAGGACAGGGGTTGGGGGGGGAGCGGGGCTGTTTGCTGAGCCCTGGATGTAAAACAAACGTGGGCAGTTATAAATATCCGAGCAGGTACCTCAGCCCCCACCTCGGCCATAAATCTGACCCCAAAGCACAATCCTGCAGTGTTCCCGCTGCGGCTCGGGGGGGGGGAGGACGGGGACCCCTCCCAGGGGGATATGGCGCAGAATGGGGCTGTCCCTGCAGAGCCATGTGGATGGAGGCACAGGGTCAGGGGGTTCGGAGCTGCCCCCAACAATCTGTGGTCACAGTGCTTCATCTCCCTCAGGAAGGAGGGAGCAGAGAGAAGAGCCTGCAAGGATGCAGGAGGTGCCACCCTGAGAGATGCTGTGCACAGATTGGGGCAGAAAGGGGACATTTTGGCCAAGACTCTCAGGAAGATGTGGGATTGCTGAAGCACAGAGATGCCCCTCTCACACCTGCAGCACCCGGGGCTCCACGCTGAGACCTTCCATCAAACAGAGCCCTGTGGAGCATCACCCTTTGGGCAGCATCCTGGTGCCCCATGCACACAGGGAGGGGATGAGTGGGCTGGAAAATAACCCTGCTGGGTGCCGAGCTGGGGTGGGATGCAGCAAGCAGGGAGAAGATGCCTGCAATGGAGCAAGCCCCACTCAGCTCCCTGCTGCCCTAAGGACAAGGTACAGCATCACATAGAGCCAGCTGGGAGCAGGCAGGGGGCTCTGCTGGGGGCACAGTGCTGCAGTGGATGGACCCTGACCCCCAGTTCAGGTCAGAGCTTGGGGAGTGCAAAGCAGTCCCTGTGCCACGAGCAGCCCAAAGCTGGCTGCTGCTTCCAGTCACTCTCAACCCCTTTTCTTTTAATTATTTTGCAATAAGAACTGAAATGTCTGGAGCAATTTGTGGACTTAATCGCTCCCCAAATGTAACATTTTTTTAAATCAAATCAGCTGTCAAGCAGCGCAAGCATCTGAAACCAGTAAAACTTCTATCTCTGTTTGAAGTTTCCCAGTTTGAAAACACATACAGGAAAAGGATGGTTTTGGGGATGGTTGGGCTCTCGAGGTTGTTGGTCGCTTGCTATTATTTTTTCTTCTGCAAGACAATTGTTCCTGAGCTGAGAGCCCACGATGCCAAGTTGGGATGGAGCGCATGCATCCAAATTGGTCCCCCCCAGCTTCCTCCCTGCTGCTGTTGGATGGAGGTGGTGGCACCCTGGGGACGGTGACAATCGCTGCTGTGAGGGACATCACCACTCCTTTCCCTCCTGCAGCACGAAGGCAGGTGGGGACCTCAGCATATTGAGTCACAGCGCATTTTTTCCCATGTCCTCCCCCACCCAGAGCATCCCAAAAGCCACTCTCGCTCCCAATGGATCATTTTGTTCCGTGCCTATGGGTGGTGACACGGCACCAAGCCTATGGATGCTCGCAGCATCCCACATCGAGCTGCTCCAACCTCAGCCCTGAACTTCTGGCAGAAGGAACTGCCCCATCCCCAAAGCCCAAAGCACTCCTTTACCCAAAGGCACATCGCTCAGGGACAGAGCAAGCGGCCCCGAGCCCCGACGTGATCCCTTGTGGGGACTCTGCACCCACCTATGCAGGTGACGCCGTCAGAGTGCAGCAAGAACTTGACGTGGCAGCCACATTTGGGACCCTGGTCCGTGTCATCACAGGTGTGCTGGCAGCCGCCGTTCCCGTAGTTGCACGTCACTGAGGGGGACAAAGCACAGGGGTCACTATGGGGGAAACAACCCACAACCCCTCTTCGCCCCACGTCCCCCCTCCTTCCAGGCTGGGTGGCACAGAGCTGGCTTGGGGAATCTCAGCCAGGTCCTAAGACACGTTCCTCCCTCTTAGATAACTTCTAAAAGCCTTTGGTTTTCCCAGCAGGATCTTGGCAGACACAAACCCCTGGGTGGTTATGTGTGTGCTTTTTGGGGGGCAGATTTGCTAAATGCCACCAGTAGACCTGGTGGAAGGGGACACACTGAGCACCAGAGCGGTGACACGAGGGCACAGTGAGACCTCCATGGGCTCCAGGATGACTCAGGTGCTCCCCTGCCAGCCCTCCCAGGGCATGCTTTGCCTTTAACTTGGAAGGAAAACAGCCCCATAGGATTAAAACTGTGTCTCATCAGCAATTTTTGCTGTTTGCTGCAAGACAGTGAGCAAGCAGCAAAATAAAAACAATTGCATAAAGACAGAAATATATATTTAATAGCCTGGCATTGCCAGCAAGATGCTGGCAGGAGATCACACGGGCTGAGAGCACCCTGTGCCCCGGGGAGAGGATTCCTGCGCTCCCCCTGTGCCAATCACATTCCCTCTGCTCATCTTCCTCATGGGAAAACAAAGGTGGTGTGACACGGATAGAGGGTGCTGCACATACAGTGCCAGTTAAGGCTGCTCGTGGTGGAATTAGGGCTTTGCAGCAGGGCTGGGGTGGGTCTGTGCCACTGGGACAAAGCCGCAGAGTAGGACTGGGCTCTCCATCCCTTATGCACTCCTTACGTTTGCAGTCACGTTGGTTCTTGGTGAGCTCAAAGCCCGGGCGGCACTCGCAGGCGATGCCCCCCTTGGGGGTCTCTCTGCAGATGTGGGCACAGCCGTGGTTCTTGTTCATGCAGTTCATTCCTTCTAAAGGAGAGAAGGAAGCAAAGAAAAGCTCCAGAAGGTCACCAGCACCGAGGATTGCTCTCCTGCTCTTCTCCTCCCTCTGCACCCAGCAGCACGGTGGGGGTGGAGGGATGGGGGTTTGAGGCAGCTGGTTTTTGCTACAAAGGGAAAGTTTCCTTTTGGATCTTGTTGGAACTGATGGCTGTTTGTGCCAGGGGCTCCCAGCCCGGCAGCATTTCACCGCTGTGCATCTGCTTGCAGTGAGGAAGGAGAGAGGGGAAAGGAGAGAGCGCAAAAGAAAGAGCAGAGGGAAAGGAGACAGTCTGCCAGGATCAGAGAGAGGGAAGGAAAAGGGAGACATGGTGCTGGCAAGGACCCCAGAAGGAAGAAAGCAGCCCTAAGAGTGAGGTTTAACTCTCTGATGCTGAATGCATCAGTCTGGCAGTGCCTGAGGCAGAAGTAAAGTCAAGGTGACCAACACTCAGTCCCAAAGCACTCCCAGCTCCCCATGTCCTGGGCTCACAACCCAGGGATCAGCTCCCACCCACTCACCCTTTCTCTTCACTCCAAAACCTGAGTGAAGGGAGCATGCAGGCAACATCCACAGAGCTGACCTCGGGATGCAGAACCCACACGGCCCTCCCAGCACTGATGATGCTCTGCAGATGCTCAGCTCAAAAATGGGCTCCAAAAGGCAGCACCTGTGTCCCTGCCTGCAGCGGGGCCACCCACGGCGGCACTGATCTCATCCCTGCCAGGCACACACATGGGATGGGGACACAGAAATGCCACTGAGCCATCCCAGCCTGGGCGAGATACCCTGGGGAGCACAAGGGATCAGCGCAGCTGGGAAGGAGGAAAGCGAAACCCATGCGGCCGCTTTGCCAAGCGGCAGAGATAAAAATCAGCAGCGATGCAAAAAAGAAAAAAAAAAAACAAACAAAAAAAACCCTCTCTCATTTCCTCATATTTTGGCGAAGAGATCGCTCCAGACGGCAGCAATTTAGAGCTGATATTGAGACAGAAGGATCGGTGCTGCGCAAGACCTGGCAGGAAAGGATGCGTCTCGCAGAGCGGCGTGGGGAGCTCCGGGTACCTTTTGTTTAATAAAAGGCTCTGGCCATGGGATTAGTGTCCTCCGTTTGGTATTATTGAGCTTGATTAAGGGGCCTGCAAGGGTTTTGCTCTGGGATGTTTATTAGCCCTGCAGTGTCCTCTCGCAGTGTGCTCGTGCCAAGTTTGCTTTTAAATTCGCAGCGCTCCCAGTGCCGAGGGGGGTCAGGAAGCAGCACCAGCACTGTGCACAGTGCAGGGCTGAGCATGGGAGCCCAGCAACCACTCCTGCAACAACCACCCCACAGTCACCACCGAAACAAAAAGCGACAGTGCTCGTTGTGACCGGATCTGAGCCATATATCTGAGCCATTATCCCACAGCCCCAAAGTTGGGTCCCACCCTGGAGGTGGGCAGTAAGGGGTGAGGGGTGCCAAGCGCTGACCTTCAGGGCGCTGGATGCACGTGTGCTGGTTGTCACTGAGGAAGAAGCCCTCCCGGCAGAAGCACTCGTAGCTGCCCATCATGTTGACGCAGGTCTGCTGGCAGCCGCCGTTGCCCTCTGAGCACTCATCCAGGTCTGCAAAGGGAAGGAGATGGAGGTGAGAGCGGTTCTGCAGCACCAAATGGAGCGGGACGGCAACGTGCTGTGCAGCAATCAGTTCCTGCTTTGCATCCTTGGTCCCCCAGTTAGAAGAAAGGGCGATGCTGAGTGCTGCAGGGGATGAAGCCAAGGCACATCTAGGGGTGGATTTCAGAGGCCACACAGCTTCTCCAGGAGCAAAAAATGTGGTGGCCCCATTTTGCAGATGGGAACATCAACCCACAGAGAAAGGGGTTCTCCTTGTCCCAGATCCCTGGGCAGACTGTGCCCCTCTGTCTGCTGCTGGTGGGGAAGCGCCTGGACTTCATTATGGGGAACCCTAGCCCAGAGCGGGGACAATTACTTCTAAGGAGACTCAAATCCCCTGCAGCATCCTGGCTTGGGAAGGAGGCAGAGATGAAAACCTCAGCCTGAGTGCTGCAGGATCGGTGCCACAGCCCCACAATGCTGTGTCCCTGTCCTCTGCGGGTGATAGCACCGGGAGCAGGGAGCTCTGTGCCAGAGAAAACCTCGGCAAACTCGAGCATCGCGGTGCTTGGGTGAAAACAGAGCCCTGCCAGCAGCGGATGCTGGAAAAACTGCAAGAGCAGCATAGGGACAGAGCATGGAGGGGCTCATAGCCCACGTGGGGGCACACAGCCTGACCAAACTCCTTGCTTTTGGGATGAATACACCTCGAGCATTGCACTGTGCTGCTGCAGCCCAGGGATGCTCAGAGCAGGGCTGAGCCCTGGCTGTGAGCTGTCACCGAGCGGTGGCACCGCCTGAGGCCACTGGAGGACAAACCAGGACATCCCATGCGATGACAGAGGGCTCCCAGCTTCCCCCAGGGCTTGTCCCAGCCAAGCAATGTCCTGCAGATGCCAGTAACTCTCCTCAAATCCCCTGTTTATAACAAGGGCTTAACGTCTTGCGACTTCTCCTACAAGGTCTGCACAAAAATGAGGAGGCAGCTGTTCCAAACCGAGGGTTGAAACGAGACTCCACTGCTCTAATACCTATTTTATTAAATGTAACGGAGGCAGACAGGAGCCAGAAGGCCCCGTATCAGGATGAGGGCTTGAATTCCTGTCCTGGTTCAAAAGGTCAGACAAGGAGGGGATGCTCAGTGGCTGCTGCACACCCCAACCCAGCAATGACCCATCAGTGCCTGGCAGGAGGAGGACCTCTCCTGCAGCTCTCCCTGGGAAGCGCCCAATGGCTGAGGGTTATTTGGTGCATAAAGCATGGGCTCCTGGGTCCTCCTCTCCATTTGGACACTTCTAAGCCTGGGCAGGACCCTCGCTTTGCTTCGCTTCTGCCTTCCAGTCAAATGGGAGTAGGAAAAGCACGTTGGGGTGGATGAGGGTAGGGAAAACCCCCTGGGGCTCATCCCTGCAGCCAGAGGAACAAAAAAAAAAAAAAAAAAAAGAAAGAAAGAAAAAAAAAAAGAGAGTATCAACATCCTCCTCTGTGGAATGGGCTCCAAAGGGTAAATTCGTGCTGTCCTGGAAGCAAAGCAGCATGGATGAGATGCTTCATTGGGCTGAGCTGTGGAAGGGCTGCAGGGATCTAGGACTGCCCTGCGCCCACTGCTCCCCTCCCACCCCGCTCTGTAAACACATGACGTCTGCGGCTCCCGAGCCCAGCTTCCCTTTCTTCTCCTTGGGCTCATCCTCCCCAGAGTGGGGAAGGCAGGGCCGCCCGCCTGCGCTCCCTCCAGCTGTGTAAATCTCCCTCTTCACCGAGGAGCCTGCAAAGTTCCCAGTGATGGCAGTTAATGCGAAGCGTATGCGTCCAGGATCCCTTTCCCCTCCTCCCTCTAATGATGAGCTCATTAATGACCTCGCTGCAGACACTAATTAGCAAATAGCACGCCGCAGCCCGGGGTGGGGGAGGTGGGCGGCCGGGTGCCCCTGCGGGCGCTGCGGAAGGAAGCGGGCGTTGGGATGCGGGCAGCGCGGCTGCACCGAGGATTCGGCCGTGCCGCAGCCGGATGGAGCTCGGGGCAGTGGAAGGATGCGCAGCTCTCCGTAGGCAGATGCTGGGTTTGTCTTGGCCTCGGGATTATTTACCCAGTCCTTTCGCCGGCTCACATCTCCACCGTATTTGCTCTTAACTCATCTATTTTGGCAGGTGCAGGGCTGACCTCAAGCACGAGCGCCCAGGAGAGCCCTGCAGGCTGGTCCTGCCTCCGGCAGCACAGCAGCACGCGCTGCTTCCATCCATCGGCTCCAAACCCAGCAGTGGGGAAGGCCTCCAGTTCCACCTTACCCAAACATACGGATGATCCCCATCCGGTTTTGTCCCAGCACCCACAGCATCCCCATCGTGCAATGGGAAGCAATGCCATCCCCATCCCCGGAGAGCTGTCGCTGCACAAGACATCTCCGGTGCCTCTGCTGTCAGCAGCTCTCCCAGACACCACATCTGAAATATGCAACTTGCAGATTATCTGCTTTCAGCACCAGCAACGTAACAGCCTGGAATGGAGGCTGAGAGGCCTCAGCTGCTGCTCCTTAGGGCAAGGCAAACCGGTGGGATTGTGGCAGGTGCAAGGATGAGCCTTGCAGGATGGAGTAAAGTGCATGGGGGTCTTGGCCCTCTGCAAGCACAGAGGGACAAAACAGGGCTGTGCCTGCTTTATCTGCATGCTAGCTTCATATTCACATGCAAGCTGTTGGTGCTTGCACACTCTTAAATCTGCTGGGTTTGAGCTCTTTGCAGGCTGCCATTGCCTTGCTATCTTGGCAAAAGCAAAGATGCTGAGGTCCATTTAATCAGCAACTTCAGCCAGCAGCAAACCTTGGCACAACAAACCCTACCACAAAGCCATCCCAGAGCCAGCCCAGCACTCACCCAGGCAGTTGTGGCCGTCGTGTGCCAGGCGGAAGCCATCGTAGCAGGTGCAGCGGTAGTTCCCAGGGATGTTGACACACTCGTGGACGCAGCCTGCGTTGTCCTCCCGCTCACACTCATCCACATCTACAGAGAAAGGAGGGCAGGGAGCTGCAGGGAGCATGGCACTGCTGTGTCCCCCAGTCCCAGCCTGGTCCCTGCCCCAGCTCATGTGTCACCCTGTGGTCCCTGCTGCTGCTCGCCAGCTCCTACTGCATCCCTGCTCTGCTCCCACCTGCACCCTTGAGTAATGACCAGCTCTGCATACAGCCATCTCTCCTGCTGAAAATCCCAGCCAAAGGCTGCTCCCCTGCTCTGAACCCAAAGGGCGATGCAATGGGAAGGGTATGGCTTCACCTGCCCACGCAGAGGTACTTCAAGTCTCAGAACATAGCAGTGCTCTACTGACTGTCCTTCCTGGAGGAAAGCCCCCTCACAAGCCCAGGAATCATTTGGGCAGCATGTTTGCATGGGATCCTGCTTTTGTTCCATCACTGTTTGTACTCCTCCCAGTTCACAAAGTTTTCTCCTGCCCAGTTCCTGCCTCTTTTCCCTGCTGCATTTGGACACATACATGCTTAAGCTTCTCATGTTTTACCTACTGACCTAATTCTGTAGTTTCTGGGCTGCAAACTCTGCAGGTAAGAAGCCTGGATTTGTTGCAAACAAAGCCCAGGCGACCCTCCTGGGGCTGGAGTAGCACCACTCTTTGCAAACGCGGCTATTTGCAGAGCAGTATCACCACACCAGGTTGTTTTGTGTCTTTAAAAGGGTTCGTAGTGGGCTGGGGTGGCTGAGCATTCCTCATTGGTGCTTGGGGCTCATTGGGGGGGCTCCAGCAGCACATCCTCACCTTTACAGTGCTTCCCATCACCGGTGTAGCCAGACTTGCAGATGCACTTGTAGGACTTGGGTGTGTTCTGGCAGATGGCATCAATGTGACAGCTGTCAGTGCCCTCCACGCACTCGTCCACATCTGCAAGGGGAGAGGAGGTGATGGGAGCAAGAAGTACACAGACCCACAGCAGCCATGCAGGCTTTCAAGCATCAAAACACAAAGTGGGGAGGAGGAAGGGAGGAATTCTGCTGCTTTACTCCCTATCACTGCACCCAGCCCCAGTGCAACTGGTGATGGGTGTGCTCCAGAAAAGCATCACCTGTGCACCCTCTTCATTAAAGCTCCCCTGGGAGCCAGTGATCATTTCACACAGCTGAGGGAAGCAATGCTCAGACACCAAAAGTCCAGGCTGGAACCAGCCCAGCTAGAGGTGAAAGCCTCTGTCTCCAATTAGCAGCTTCCTGAGCTGACCAGTCACCCAAATAATCGTCACTGCTTTCTATTCTTAGGCAAGGAGGAATGTGCACAAATTAACAGGGACTACAAGAAATAAACCTGAGAGCAGGAACCAGGGAGAGAGAACAGGGAAAAACATCACAGCTTCCTCAGGAGCACAGCCAAAAGCACAGCTCCCCAAAGGCCCACCCCTATGGGCATCCTCCATCCAAACAGCTGGATGTACTTCACAGCACCAGGGCATGGAGGGCATCATCACAGAGCTGTGGGATGGCTGGATTGGAAGGGACCTTAAAGATCATAGATCCATGGAATAGTTGAGTAGGAAGTGACCTTAAAGATCATAGAACCATGGGGTGTTTGGGTTGGAAGGGACCTTAAAGATCATAGAACCATGGAATAGTTGGGTTGGAAGGGATTTTAAAGATCATAGAACCATGGAATGGCTGGGTTGCAAGGGACCTTAAAGATCATAGAACCATGGGATGATTGGGCTGGAAGCGACCTCACAGCCCCCTGAACCCCTGCTGTGGGCTGGGTGCCAATCACCAGCTCAGGCTGCCCAGGGCCCCATCCATGGTCTTGGGCACCTCCAGGGTTGGGACACCCACAGCTCTGAGCAGCAGTGCCAGAGCCTCGCTGCCCTCTGATTAAAAAATTCCCTCCTAATATTCAGGAGTAAGTCTCTCCTCTTAGTTTCAAATCATTTTCCCTTATCCTATCACTATCTGTCCATGTAAAAAGTCACTCTCCCTCCTATCTACAAGCTCCTGGCCAGAGCATAAGACTGAAGGCAACAACCTCAGCAACACCCAAGGCTCCCCGTGGCAGGAGGCACGGGGAGCAAAGATTTTAATGGCACTGAAGAAATGGAGAAGCCTTATCTGTGTGGGGTGGAGGCTGTGGTGTGGGGGCTGAGCATCGTGCACGGGCTTGGGGACCTTCAGTGCATCCCACTCTGCCACATCCCATAGGAGGGACTTGGACCCCAGAAACCATGATCCCAAGGCTGAGAAACTCCCAGCTGCCTTTAAAATCTGTCTCTCTGCAGCGCAAAGAATGCAGGCGCTCCGGGAGGTCCCTGAAGATGTGATGCATCCTGGCAAGCCAGCAGAGGGTGGGCAGCCCCAGAGGAATGCCGGGATGGAGGCCACGGCCACAGGAGCAAAGGGCTGAGCACTCTCTGGCCACCATGGGGTTTTTTTGCAGGGAGATGTGAGTCATCCTTGCACCAGGGAGGCAGCACGTGCCTGTGCATTGTATAAATATTTACAGCACGCATTCATATTTGTTGTTTGACATTAGCCATGGCCCGCGGCCACCACAGCCTCCCTCGGGCCATTAATCACGGGCTGGGGGCTGACCCACCGCGGTGGGAGAGCTGTGGGGTGGTGTGGGGACAGGCACCCACTCTGCAACCCACAGGGACAGCCCTGGTGCCACCACAGGGCGAAGACCCCACACTGCAGCCAATGCTGACCTCCCTGCATCCATCCCCGCTGTCACCTCCCAGCCACGGCAAGGTGGGACGGGGATTGCTGTTGCTGGATGCCGCACTGGGGATCCCATAGACTCCAGGTGCCCACCTCAGCACTCCTGGTGCACGCAGCTCTCAAATCAAAGAGGTGTGTTTGAGATGTCCAACATTGCCCATTTGGCAGACTCAGTAGAAACCAAAGCCAACGCTGAATCACATTGAAACCCAAACTCATCCATCCCTATAGCTGGAGCCACTCACACTCACCAACATCCAGGTGTGCACACGGCAGGACAGGGGCTGATGTTCTGCAGCTCCCAAATCTGCCCTATGTGGGACTCATCAAATTACGACAGGTAACGGCCTTAATTGGCAGCAGGAGAGGTTCAGGTTGGATATTAGGACAAATCTCAGGGCAGTGATGCAGTGGCACAGCCTGCTCAGGGAGTGGTGGGGACACTGTCCATGGAAAGGCTCAGAACTGCAGAGATGTGACAATGAGGGACATGGTTATGGCATGGTGAGATGGGATGGGGTTGGATTGGGGATCTTTGTGGTCTTTTCCAACCGTAATGATTCTACAGTTCTATGAAATGTTGCAGATCATTGAGTTTCAAGGGCACAGGTGTGGGTGCAGCTCCTCTAGCATCTCTCATGCACGCAGAGGTCGTGCTTCCACTTTGCTCAGCAGCAGATGAGCAAAACCTCCCATCGCTGTTCTCTGAAAGCTCCCCAAACACGAAGCATCCATTGCACACCACAGAGTTGAAATTTTCCCAGCATTTTGCCAGAAATCGCACTTTTTTAGATTTATTTTTTTCTATTTTTTTTTTTCCCCTTCTCTGCACTCAAAGTCAACACAATGAACAATGCATGTTGTGATGCTGAAAACAATGCCGTGGCTTTCCCTCTCACACATGTATGGGTTTTTTTTTTCTTTTTTTTTTCTTTTTTTCCATTCTGTAACTTCAAAACTCCTCTAACTTTGGAAAGATTACACAGCAGCAAAAGTACAAAAGAAAACATTATAAATTTGCCACTCTGTAATTTTTCCAAAGCTGGAGACATTCTGAAAGGTTACAGGATTAGAAAACGAGGGAAAAAAGGATAAAAAAGTGTGTGTGTGTGGGAAGCATGAATAAATACCCTCCTGGCCACTCCAGGAACCATCCCCATGCTGGCAGGGATCCTACCTTCAGAACACCAAAATCCTGGCTCCTAAGAAAGAGCATCTTTAAGAAACGATGGAGTAAAAATCAAGGGGGAAAAAAGCCTTCTGAAGAACCCAATTTTTACATTCTTGTCAATGCAAGGAGCATTTCCAACAGAGCAACTTTGCTGTCGGGACATGCTTTCCTGTGGGAGATTTCTCCCTCTGAAAATGCCTGTGGCACTGCCACAGGTGCTTCCAGCAGCTGCAGAGATGCAAGGGATGAGATTTCCAAGCCAACATGATGGGAGATTCAAGAAAAAGCAATGCCAATATTCCAACTCCATCTGCTGCCACAAAGCCCTCACTGGGGTTCACAGAATCGTAGAATTGCTTGAGTTGGAAGGGATCCTCAAAGACCATCCAATCCAACTCCCCTGCCTTGATACAGGACACCCACAGCTCCATCAAGGTGCTCCAGGTCCTGTCCAGTCTGGCCACGGACGTCTCCATGGATGGGGACACCCACCACCTCTCTGGGCAGCCTGTTCCCGTAGACCAACCGCCACTATTGTAAAAAACCTTTTCCATATATCAACCCAAATTTCCCCTCCTTTAGTTCGAAACCATTTCCCTCTCATGTTATTACAGAATTACAGAATCACAGAATCTCCAAGGTTGGAAAAGACGTCCAAGATTCCTTAGTCCAACTGTCCAGCTACCACCAATGTTTCTCCACTACACCATGTCACTCAGTAGCACATCTAAAGGTTTCTTGAACACATGAATTTCTTGATGGCTCCAGATCTGGGAGGTCAAGTGCCAACCCCAGGCTGAGATTTGGGGTCAGGCCCTTCAATAATCCAAGCTGCCATTTTTCAAACTCCAGTGGGTGCACTGTGCCCCAAATCCCCCAAACTGAGGGGTTCTGCACAAGGCAGAACTGCAATGAAGACGCAACGGCCCATCCAGAGATGTACCCAAGGGCACCCAGCTCCACCTCTGGATCCAGCCACCCTTTTGGGGCAAAGCAGCACTAATGAGAGCACATGGTGCACACTTGCCCCAATCTTTGCCCATGCCCTTGGGGTCACAGCACAACGCTGGGGCTCTGCCCACAGCACAGCTCTGGAGGAGGTGGCAGCGCCCGGCGCGATGTTTTTTATTCCGTTGTGGGTGGGATTTTCCAGCGCTCGCTGTTGGGCCCCGTTCCGCTCCAGCTGCAGCTTTATTCTCCATTTCAAAGGCAGCCGAAGAAGGCAGACGGTTGCAACGCCACTGCCATTTCGAGAGCTCCCAGAGGACGGCTGCCCCGGCACCGCATTGCGCCCATGGGGACGGAGTGCTGGGAGAGGGGACGGCGCTGGGTGCCCCGGGGCATCCACACCAATGGATGCGTGCACGGCTCCACGTGCCCTCACAGCCCGTGCTGGGCTCTCCCCTCACTTCCTCGTTAGAAATAATAATAGTAAAGATGCTTTCATCTGTAGGCAGACGGACTGAGTCAACGGAGATGAGCTAAGGTGGCAAAAACCCACTGGGAATTTCGAAACAAACAAAACCTTTTTCACTCTTCTCTCAGCGCTTCAGCGTTTCCTTTCAAATTGGTTTGATTCTTTGTTTTTCTATAGGCAGCCTGTCTGTATAGAGACACGTGTGTAGCTGTTGGCAGAGGCACGGAGTTTCCACTCGGCCTTAATGCCAAATTAAAGCGTTATAACTTCAGTAGCTCTTTTTACTGGGGTATTAATAACCACCTCAGACACCGCGGGGCACTTTATTAATCATTTGTTCGTGGGATGGGGTGGGCGGTGTGGGCACGTTGGCCAAAGATGCATCATCCAAACTGGGAATCCTAACTCAGGTGCTTGGGGATGGGATGGGCACGGGGGTGGGGATGGGAGATGCAACTGTGGGCTGCGGTGTGCTATGGGGCAGTGATGCTGGAGGAGCACGGAAAGGGAAGGAAAAGCACGGGCATGAGCTACAGAGAGGGGTTGAACAGCTCTCCCCATCCACCTGCACTTGGGTGGCTCCTTCAGGGATTGCTCCTGTTGCTCCTTATGCTGATCGGCTGAGCAAGGCTCGCCTTCGGGAGCGTGCTTGTTTTGCGTTTGGGGAGCAACAATCACGATGGGAAACAGCCTCTCCGAATCACAGCCGTGAGACAGAGCAAACTTTATTTGCCATCCCAGGCTTCTCCTGAAGCCTCTCGGGGGACTTATAACGCTGGAAGTGAAGGTTAAGGTTATTCATGCATACTTTTTTCCTAAATGGATTACTCCGGTGCGACCGTCTGCAAAGGAAAAAATTTATATAAAAATAAAAGAAAAAAAATAAAACTCCTGAGCCGCTTGGAGACAGCCATACATCTCTGCACTGGAAGACTCGAGGTGTCTGAATATTTATACTCCCGTTGGCAGTTACAAAAAAACTCTTCTTCCCTCCTTCCCACCCCCCTCCCCTTTTTAATCTAAGTATGGGCATGTCAGACGCCCTCAGTCAAAGATCTCCTTTGAACTGCTGTATGTTGAAATGTTTACAGTTTTACATTTCATATTTCAGAGGGGCGGAGGGGACAGGCACAACAGTCACACACTGTGAATGCAGCAGAGGGAGGAAAGCAGAGGCTGAGGGGGAGGAGGTCCGGCGGAGATGGGAGGGGAATCCAACAGCATCTCCGTGCTGCAGTTGGGAAATTTTGTACTCCTTACAAAATAACACATCCCTAGCAATGTGGGCTCTGCAGGTGCATCCCCACCAAAGCGAACTGAGCCCCTCGTGCAGGAGGTGCCAAGGCTGTGGAAGAGTCTGCAGCCTCTGTGGGATGTCTTTGTTTATGGGATGCTGCCAGAGAGGCAACGGGATAAGGATGTGCCCTTGTGCCTGTAGGTGAAGGGCTGGGTACTGAAAAGCTGGGGAGCTGTGGGCACGGGTGAAGGAAGACAGCAGCATCCAAGCACTGGGGCTGCCAGGAGCTTCTCCTGCCTTGCACGGGTTTGTATCACAACTTGAAAGCAAGTCCTAACCAGACCCACCAAACCCAGCACACACCAGTCCTTTATTGGGCACCGTGCAGGGCTGAGCTGAGCCCCCTCCCTCAGAGCTCTGCAAGATAAAGCAGTGCTGTGAAGGAGCCCTGCTTACATCACACCATTCTGCAGGAAAACCAACCCACCCTGCGTGGGACAGCTGATACAGGCGTGTGTGAGTGATACCACCCAGCTGCACGCTGCACGTGGCACCGTATGGGGAAAGCACCAGGTGAGCTATCAGCATGGCAGTGCGGTGATGAGCACCATCCTTGGGCACCATCACCCCAGAGCTTTCAGTCCCATCCTCTCTCAGCACACCCTAGGCACGTGGCTTGCTGCTCGAGCTCAACGTTGGAGCGTGGAGAAAGCCAAGTGGTGTTGGGGGACACCCCCAGACACCCCAAACCCACGCGTCCCTCAGCCTCCTCCCGCTGCCTCCTGAACCCCAGCGGGGTCCAGGGGTTCCTCCAGCCCTGCTCAGCTCAGCTCAGCCTGGAGCTGGAAGAGGTACAGCATGGAGGAGCCCGCACTGCCCCGGGTGCGAAGCGGGCGGTGAGGATTTAGCTCACCTCTCTCCACCCCCTCTCCACCCCGCTCCTTCCCCGAAGGGATCTGTCAAGTCTCTGCACGATGGAATTTTACTTTGCTATTTTAATGCAATTCTGGCTCAGGCTTAAATGGAACTGGAAACCAAAAGGCCTTAATAAATAAATATTATGATAAGAAATGAAAGCAATGCATACACGAAAGATAATTTGGGGAGGGGGGGTGGGTGGGAAATGAAGCATTCCTTTCTGAGCTTAAATCGTGAAGCTTTACGCAGAGCTGGACGCCTTCTCAGCAAACCTTTGCCCTGGAAAATCTCCCCCATGCTTGTCCAGACCGAGAAGTCTCCCATTGTTTTAGAACACTGAAGGCAGATAAGACAATAGCCTTGAAATTCCTCCTAACTTCGTCAGTGACAGGGCTCAGCTCGGCTAGTCCTATTGCCTGCACGAGGTCTTTAATTACACGCTGCGCTCCCATATTTCATTCACACACTATTTAATCTCACCCTATGCACCAACACGCAGCTACTACAATAGCGGGAGCCAGAGCTGGTTTGATAAACCCTGCGTCCATGGGACAAACAAAACAAAACACAGTGCAAACAACCGATCCTAACAGGATTGTGGTGAATGAGGGGAAAAAAAGCCCCTTCGATCCGGTGGCATCGTGCACATAGGGCTGTGTGTGCTCGTGTGCGCGCGCACCCCGGTGCATAGAGAAAAATCCAAGCTAAATATAGAGGTGCTATAGAAAAGCCTAAGATATAGATAGCCCATACATAAAGCAATGTGTGTGCTGGGAGAAAGTCTGGCTAAAGCACGGGAGCGGAGAAGCAGGAACGCCTGAAGTTGATAGCGATGGGATGTGCCTCTCATTTGCAGGGACAGGAACACACGGAGCGTTTTTCAGCTCAGATCCATGAAGCTCCCTGCAGCACACTGCCCTGCTCGGGGGTATCACAGCATTGGGGGTGCAGTGTGTGTGGATGGAAAGCACACCAATGTGGTGCTCCCACCTTCCAGCCCCGCTGCGCCTTCCCCATCCCCGGAGCGCCCTCACCCACATGGCATCACCCCTCTGCACACAGGCGAAGCCCCACGACAGAAGAGCTTCCAAACTCCTTCGACCAGTGCAGTGATGGGTGAGCACTGATTTCCTGCCTCTGCACCCCCTGCCCGGAGATAAAGAGTCCAAACACACGCAAAAAACAAAACAAAACAAAAAAAAACCAACAACCCTAAATGCAGATCATTAAAGAGTTCACAGAAAGACAACAATTAAAGGCAGCAGTGGGATATCTGCAAGCAGCGCTTTAAATCACCTCAACTAAGTTGTTGGTGCTGCCCGTTTCTCCAGCCTGTGTATAAAGCCCACATGTAACAGGAGGTCCGGCTGCCTGCACACACATCAAACAGATTTGGGAAGATTTCTCTTACCTTGACTGGCTTTATTTGCCAGCGTGATTCCAGAGTGGAGCAGAAGGGTAAGCATGCACAATCCAGCAATCTGCAACGCTCCCATTGCAATCCCCGCCTGCCTGCAGGAGCGGGGGCAAGAAGGGGGATTTCTCGTGCTTTAAAGGAAACAAGAGGCTGAGCATGCAAAGGGAAGGCAAGAGAAGGAAGGGGCTCTCCTCTTGCTGTGTGTGAGACAGAAGGAGGGAAGGGAACTGAAATGATGGAAAAAGCTGCTCTGGGTTCAGTGTGGGGCTCTTGGTGTTGCTAAAGAGGAGAGAGTGAGGGAAGGAGACCTAGGGCAGTTGGAAGAAAGTGGACTCTATCGCCCTCTCCCTGGCGGCTGCTCTGATCCCTTCTCCTTCTTCTCCTTCTTCTTCTTTTTGCTAAATAATCCCAGCCAATTCCAGTTCTGCAAGAGAGCAGCAGCAGCGGCGGCGGCGATGAAGGGGGGAAGCAGGCGCCTTGCACTGGTGCTGGGGACCTGAGAAAGGGGAGTGGAAAGGAGAGCCCCATCCAAGCAACGCCCTTTTTCTCCCAGCCTTTCTTTCTTTCTATTTGGCTTTAGCTACTCCTTCCCGGCTCCCCCCTCGCACCCCCAGGCTGGGCTCTGCCTGCAGGAATTTACAGTCTGCTCTGGAGGAGCAGGGCCAGTAGCCATGGAGACTGCTTCCCTGGGAGCAGGGAGGTCAGGCGCAGACCATGGGTGATCAATGCATCAATGCAAAGCCCCCCGCAACCCCCAGACCCACCCCGCGCCTCGCAGCCCCTTGGCCCATAGGGCTGAGGGTGGTGGTGGTGGGGAGAGGGGGAGGCATCCGCCGTGGGAGGGAAAGAAAAGGGGAAGGAGAAATAAAAGTAGAAGGGGGAAAAGGGGGGAAAAAAAGGGAAAGAAAAAAAAAACAAGCACACAATAAAAGAAGGAGTTTGCAGATGCCGCGACCTGCGGCACGGGGGCTCAGCGGCTGCGGGAATGGTTGGGCCGGTGGGAGAGCTCTGTGAGAGGTGGGGAGGGAGGACTGGGAATAAGGGGGAGGGAAACACAGTGAGAAAAATGTGCTTTTCTAGATATTTTGGGGTTTTTTGGGTTGTATGCAGGAGCCTCTCGCAGCCTGGCCCTGCACATAGGACCCCATGGCCCTGCGCCTGCATTCCCTCCCCTGGCATCAGCTCCTAGGGGTGCAGAGGGGACCTGAGGCAGAGGCCCCACCATGCTGCCCCCCGTGGCCTCATGTGTCCCCTTTTGTCCCGGCAGACCCCAAAGATAAAAGAAAGAGGTCTGAAAACTACAGAGAATGCACAGCTAAGTCAAAGCGCCCACTGCCATCCTGCTGGGGAAAGAAGAGGGTGCCCAGCAGAGCAGGAAGGTGCTGAGGAGTCCCTGATTCTATTTGTGCTTTCCTTACAGAAACAAAAGATGCATAACCCCTGGGTTGCCATCACGGTGTGCAGGGCGCTGCTCTGGAGGAGGTCTGCACAGCCAAAGGCAGCAGCCAAGAGAAAGCTCACATGGTGCCATCGTGCAGCCCCCCGGGTGCTGCCACCAGCAGGGTCTCCATGCAAAGTGTCCAGTCCTAAACCCACAGAGAAGCTGACCCCTACCAGAGCAGTGAGAAGACCATGGTCAGGTGCAGGGCAGATGCACAGTGATAAGCAAGAAACCCAGCAGGACAGCACTGCACCTATGGGATGGGCCCAACAACTCGCTGTGCTGAATCCAACCAGTGGTGGACCCTCAGCCCACAGCATTGCCTGGGAAGGGGTGAAGAAGCAGCAATGATTATTAAAGCTACAGAAAATAGCATCGTATAGAGAAATATGAACACAGAGCTGTCACTGTTGGGATGCATCGGGAGGGGATTGCAATGCACAAGCAGGAACTGGAAACTCCCTGCTCCTCTGTTCCAGGTCCCCGCATCCCACCCCATCATCTTTTATCATTATAACCAGAGGAAAACTAAACACTCCTTTTTCTTTTTTTCTTTCTTTCTTTTTTTTTTTTTTTTTTTTTCTAACCTGTCTTCTAAATCTGGAGACCGATCTCAAGGCACGAGGGACAAGACCTTCAGCTATGTTGATTTATAACCGAGCTTCTAAATTACAGGTTTACGCATTAGTATAAACACCCATAAACCAGCCCTAAATACACAGTATCGTATGTAATCAAAACGCCAAAACACCGGGCGGCCACGTGACAGCACGGGGGGAAGGATGGGCTCAGAGTGCCCTGGTGGGGCCGGCACCAGCCAAGTGCTCCCAGTTAAACCAGTGCATTGTACTGGGAGCAGGTCGTGCTCTGAAAGAACCACTGGGAGAGAAAGGGCTGAGCCCCTTGGTTCATCCAATGGGGTTGGAACGGGCTGGTGTTGAGAAACTCCCTAAAAAGTCAGGATTTCGTTCCAAACTTTGTCACCTGGTTCCCATGGTTGGAAGAAAAGAACTGCTGCTGGAAAAGCCACGGGTCCGTGCAGATGAAGATCCCCAGGATCACGTGGGAAGGATGCAGGAAGGCTCATAAAAATCAGCCCCAGCACTTGGGGCTCAACCAGCTCCTGCCACTGGGAGCCCTTCCGAGGCAACTGGGACAACTGGGCAAGGCGGAGAGCATGGTTGCTGTGGGACATGCACGTGTGTGTGTCTGGGAGGGGCAGGGCTCTCCTCCCCACCGCCTCCGCTCCCCGTGGAGCACTTCTGGGCAAAACCCATTTGCTTTGGCTTCACGTAGGGCCAAAAGATTCGGGTCCATTGTGCTGAGGCACTGAAGAGCCGGCGTGGAATTGTCGACCATGCTGAAATGGTTACATGGGGAGTAATGAAAATTTACTGCACCCTGCTCGGGTCGCCAGCCAAGAAATAAAAGCAAAAGATCACAACAGGCATTTTTTTAATTTGAGGCAAAATTAAAAAAAGAAAGGATCCGCACTTAGAAAATAACAACCACATCCACAGATCAAAGCAGCTGTTCTCCTCTCATTCTGGGTTTTAAGAGATTTCTGCAGCTACGGGGATGTTTACACAGGGAGAGAGATACATACATTGTGCTGTCTTGATGCTGCCTCTCCCCCCTTCATCTGGCAAAACATTCCCTGGGAGGCAATATGAGGTCATTCTTAGACCCTGCGTTGTTTTCCTCAAGCTGCAAGCCTTCGGGGCAAGAGGCAATTCAGTTCCCATTAGCAAACACACATTTGCACTTGGAACCTTCCCATGCACATCTTGATGAGGAGCTTGGGGCCGGGGACAGGACCTGCCCTCACCAGCTCCTCATGGCACCCAGGGGGTCACCAAACCATGGGAAGGGGCTGTGGGGCCAGGGAGCTGCCTGGCACATCCTGCAACCCAGCCTCCCTGTTACCGTGGCTTCCACTGCTTTTATTACAAGTGGGGCTGCGTGGCTCTGAGGAGCACTAATGGGCTGTAAAAGTCATTTTCCCCTCTGTCTTGTTGTCTCATGACTATTGGGAGCTTGCATCCTGCTCCAAAGCTCATGCAGAGATGGAGGCTGTGGGAAGGTGCCAATGGATGCTCCCTTTGTCTCCTTGCATCCACCCGCTGGTGCTCCATGGGCAGCACCGGTTTCTCCAAAGCCAAGTCTGGCTAATGATCCCCCCCCCCTCCCATGCTATCAGTCTGAAACCAAACTTAGCATGAATGTAACGTCGCACACTATAAACGAGCCACATCTTCAGCACTGCCTCTGCATATTTGCACGATGATGGAGCCAGAAGGGATTTCTGAGGCAGTGCAAGAAACTGCTGTGAAGTAATAGTGGACACAAGGCTCCCATAAAGGACCTCAGCGCTTGCAGAACCAGCTATTGAATCATGTAGGGGCAGTGAAGGAAGAAGAGGCCAATGGATTAAGCCATGATGCTTAGAGTACAGGGAGCCCGGGAGAACCAAAGTCACAGCCCTGCCATTGCCCTGCACTGAAGGGTGCTGGTGGTGCCCCCAGAAAGCAGCTGTCGCGATGTTCCAATGCCCCAGCGAGGGGTGTGATCTCCAATTGGGAACAGAATGGACTATTTTTAAAAACAGAAAGGAAAACACTGCGTTCCCAGCAAGGAGCTGACAGCTCAGCTCATCCCCGTTGCAATCTCCTGGGCACAGCGCTCCTTTCCCCAGCCCACCATTTAATCACTGTGCCTCTGAGGGGACAAGAAGCACCAGGTCCTGCTATGTGACTGCCTGCCCCTCCTCCCCCCCCCCCCATGATGCCTTTTTTCCAGTGTCGTAGATCTTCCCAAAACGACGTCCTTGTTTGTCATTCCCCCCTTTGCAGCAGGAGAAGCTGACACACACGGAGGTGAGGTGACTTACGCGGCGTCACCGGGAAGGTCGATGGCAGCGCCAGGAATAGCCCCGTTCCCAGCTAACCACTAACCACACTTATCCCAGAATAAGGGTCCCTTTTTCCAGCTGAATTTATAACAGCTTGCTAAGTGACATAAGCTCTTACAGAAATAGGCAGGCTTTTATTCCAGAATAATTACTGGGAAATCACACTACAGCGTGCAGGGGGTGTAATTACACCGGTGGAGCTGCTGCTGGTGGATCGTACCCCACGCACCGGCAGCTCCCTTCAGCTTTTACCTTGTCCTGCTTTTCCATGAATCATAGAATCATTAAGGTTGGAAAAGACCATGAAGGTCACCAGCCATTGGTTCATCCCCTCCATGCCCTCTAACCACGTCCCTCAGTGCCACATCTTCGCAGTTCTGAACCCCTCCGGGGATGGGGACCCCACCACCCCCCTGTGCCAATGCTGAGCGCTCTTTCCAAGGAGAAATCTCTCCTAATATCCAATCTGAACCTCCCCTGGCGCATCACCTACAGATCATCACCAGACAGAAAGCGACAGATCGCTCCTTAAAGTTTTATTAATCATATTTCCCACTGAAGATACCCAACAACAGACCTTCCAGCTCCTGCAGCCAACAGCTGTCTTTTGTTACCCCAGATCAACTCAGCAACACGCAGTGTCTGCTTCCAGTTCATCTCCAGCACACTTCTGGAGCAGGTGTTTTATTTTAAACACATGTTTACGACCCACCAGGTAAAATCCAGCTCAGAGTTCAGATTCTGCTGAACTGAGGCCCAAAAAGCATCTCTGCCACGAGCTGCTAGAATACATCCTATTTAACAACCCTCAAAAGCAAACTGATGGTGCTGATAGCTCCAGGTATCCATTGAGAGCACCATCTGCCAAGAGCAGAGCTCACTGCTCAGAGCACACCGCAGGAGGGCAAGGGTTAACTCAGCACCAGTGACACTGCTTTCACTCCAGGACCCAGATGCGTGCGTTTAAAAGTAGCACTTCTCTCCTTAAAATAGTTTATGATTCTTAGTCGAGGATAAATCCAACGCCCCCAAGCAGAAGGAGACCTATTAATTCCTGAGTTTTTTCACGCTGTAGTAAAGCAGCGATTTTATTTGCCTGAGCTGTGTAAGATGTCAGTCATTTTCCCACTTGCATTTCCATATACAATTTAACAAGGCATTAGTTTATTTCCAGAAGCCCCAGCCAGCCCTGAGCCAACCGCGTCAATATTTTGTCGCTGACACAAATGCCACCACCATTGGAGTCAACAGCGTGTTTTGGGGGGAGCTTTATTCCTTTTTT